GAGCTGGTGCAAAGAAGAGTTTTTAATATGACAGGTGGATGGTGGAGAAGGGGAAGTGGGACCCCTCCTTGGATCAGATATGACTTGCCTCTTAATGCTCACTGAGGAAGGCATTTTGACATCTAACTGCTGTGGTCAAGTAAATAAGATTCTGGTTTTTCTTTTGTTATTGGTGTGGAATGCTGATGTGCTTTTATGGTCTGCTGCTCAGGTGCTTATGGTTAGAAGTAAATAGTCACATGTGACTATTCTACGTACACTTACGCAGTCTTGAACTTGCAGGTAAAAACCATGTATTTAATCTTTAACTTGGAAACACTATCTAGTTCTGTAGTGTGGCTTTTGCCCATGCCTTAAGAGTCAAGAAAGGATCATGGGGTACAGGAGACTTGAAGCTAGAAGCAACTCCTGTGCTATACTTCACATGCTGAGTTTCAACTTGATGGATTTTCTTTAGCTAAAGACCAAGCCAAATGTAGTCAAGAAGAGTCTGACCTAATCACATTTCTTAGATGAGGGTGAAAATTGAAAGCTTTTCCACAGAAATAACTGACAGAGCAAGATCTGATGAGCATCTTCAATATCCAGTTAAACTTAGTACTGCTCTAAGTATACTGTAGTTGCCTATCAGTGCAACAGCATCAGCCTTGCTGCTAGCTTTTTGATGTCATTTGCCTGCTTGAAATGGACTCATTTTGAGTAGGAGAAGGGAATAGGCCAGCATGCTCCAGTGATGGCTGTCTGGGGAAGTCCTAAAGGCTGAAACTGCAGAAAGTGACCAGGCTTGCATGCTTTCTCTGAGTATCTCTTCCTTTTCCCACCATAGAGAGAACAGTACTGGGCTTGATGAACCATTGGTCTGACTCCTCTTTTGCGTTCTGCACTGATTTCTACAAGATTGTTATGTTTTTTTTCCAAACTTGTATTGAATGGGAGCATGTTTTATTAGGAAAGGCTTGCAGAACTATACCTTATTGGATTCTTCCACTAGTTTAATAGCCAGTACAGTCTTTTTTTAAGAAGGTGTAGGGCTTGAGCTCATGGAGTTCTATGAAAAGCATTAATTTTATATGATCTGAAATGAGACTAAAATATGGGAATCAATCTCTTTGACACACTTCTATAGCTAGTGTGGGACTGGCTAGGTAGGTATTTCCTGTAGCTTGTTAATCAGCTCTTAGGTAAATTTTAATTAGTTTAGCAGTATTATCTGAAACTAACTCTTTTACCTTATATTGCTAATGTGAGAATAAATATGCTTTTGGTCAGATGTGTCTTGGCTTTTCAAAATAAAGACCAGAAGCTACCTCTTGCTCTCTTCAAGAAGCTGAGTGGCATTTTCTAACACCTGACTGACTTTACTTTCCTTCAGAGTTGATTTTGGCTACTTGGATAACTTCTGAAAAAACTCAGTTGCTACCAAGTAAGCTTTTAGTGAGTTGAAACATTTTGGTTTGATAGTTAAGGGTAGAGTATACAAAAGGAAGTGGGTAATATTTAGTTTCAAGTTACTAAGGAGTTGGCTTGACATAAGAGGGCTTAGTGGGATCTTTAAAAGGTTCAATCCTCCTTTGTGCCCTGCTTTACTCCATTTTCCAGAGGATTCAACACTCTACTATATTGGGTTGTAAAAAATCTAGGCTAAACAATTCCCTGTTGTTTTCCTGCTGACATGACATTGTTAAACCAGTATAGACTTTTTTCTTAATTTGATAAATGCCTGGCAAGAACTTGAGGATTGGAGACCACTGGCAAGAACTTGGGTTTTGGCTTACCTATGACTTCATGGAAAGTACAGTTATTTAACCTTTTGGTAAGGCCAATGTGGATAGTCATTTGCTTTGTTTACCCTGACAATGAAGAGAACCTTAGAGTTGATAAATTCAAAGTTATGAAACCTAGGGAGGATGTCAAGGACTTCATGCAATATTCTACTTAGAGCTGCTTAGACTTGCATCTAAACTTGATTTAAGTACTCCAGAATGCAAACAATATCCTAAACATAGTTATCCTGCAGGCCCTGGGATGTGGAAAAGGGAATGAGTTTAAAGAAATTGGAATAGAATTGTTGGTAACAATGCTTAGTTCAATAGAATTTAATTCTTCCTGAATGAAAATACCTTTTTCTGATGTGTCTTTGATCTGGTTTTACACAAATTCTTTGCGTATTGCAATGTATTATTGAAATGATGGGTTTGGGCAACTAGTATAGTCATCTTTCTGATTGCCTTTACATATCAGATCTGACTTCCACAGTAAAAATACTTAAATTCAGCCACTTACTTGGCACACAAACTCCTCTAGGTATTTACATGGTCATGGTATTGAACTGTTAGAACTTCTGAAAGGGTTTTGTTTTATAGAATTGCCTCTGACTTCAGCTTTACTGAAGTGGTGTAAGCTTGCTAATTCACCACTTGAGTTGAGAGGCATTACTTAGCCTGGAAGCTTTGAACAGATGACTTAATAAGATAGGTTTCCAAAACTTTTTGACAAATTAGTTGCCAAACACTTGTGACAGTCCTTTAAAAACTGAATGCAGTGATGTTAATAGCAGTATGTGAAAATAATAGTTTTGGTAGTCTTTCTTGGACAGAGTTGAAACTCTGCTTACTTATTATATGCTGTTCAGATGCTTGTGCTCTGATTGGCTTTTTCAAAACCTGGTGAAGGCTGGACAAACTATACATCTATTCAACAGCCTCAATCCAGTTAAATAACACAATTTAGCAAAAAGGTTCAGTTAGTAAGTGTAGATGATTGTCAATAGCCATTGAGAGTAGTCCTCTGCTAATATACTGTCACAGATCAGTAAAACTTAGAAAACTGGATGTTAGTATGAAGAATTACAGGAAAGTGTCAGGAGACAGTATGTTTTACTGTCATATTAGAAAACCATAAATCCTTTCCTTTTTAGAAACTATGTAAAACAAATTTAAGATACAGATTAGCTATGTATTCAGTAATTGAACACCAATGGCTTAAATACAAAAAACCCCAGGTTTAGTTTCAGAAGCCTGAGCTGTTTTCACTGCAGCGACAGCATTTAGGTAGTACCAATATTTGACTGGTGTAGTGGTAAGTGGTAGCCTTATTTCACACAGTTCATAGCTGTTCTCTTGAATTTGAGTATCCCTTCCTTTATCCCCTTAGTAGAAACATGGATCAGTCCCTTATCTAAATGAGTGTACCTCATAAGTAAGGTATGCTGAAGTTAATACAGCAAAACTTGGAAGTGAGGATGTTTTCTGTGCTTGCAGTGACCTCTATGGGCTGATTATTCTGATCTTTGTTTAATGATGCATATAACTTGCCTAATTTACTGGCACAGTGCAGTGCAGATTTTGGACTAATCTAAAAACCTAGATTTTTACATTAGAGGCTTGACTTTTGAAAGCATTCACAATATTGAAGCAGTTTGAGTACCACTGTGGTAGAAGGTTGAAGAATGCTACATTTCAGAGTTTGAAGTTTTAAGGTGTCTTAGAGCCCTGAATTTTATGCTCTTGGCAAATGTGAGAAAGCTTATGAACTAACCAAGAACAACTTCTGTTTGTTGCACTACCATATTAACTCAGCACTCTAAACAGTAGATACCTCTAACATCTTGAAATATTTTTCTGAAGAATGAATTCTGTTTAGAAATCACTTCTCATTCATGCTTAGGTTATAGGTGTTGATACTTTATTTGGCTTCTGCACCACCTTCAGTAACAGTACTGAGGTAGATTTCTTTGAAGCACATGGATATTCTAAGGAGTGCACTAGCCAAGATAGGAGCCCACAAGCTTAAGTTAGGGATGATTATATTGATTAGTGGTGGGAAAGCACTAATTAGTTATGCAAAATGAGGCAAAGATTAAAAATAGCCAAAGATCACATGATTTGTGTGGTCCTGGATATCTTTACTTAACCACTCAAAGGTGTGATTTTGTGCTTGCACAAGCAGTCTTGGTTGTGTGGTATTTGTAACATTGAGGGCTTTGTTAACTATTCTAGGCTACCTTTCCTGTGGAGTGCAAATACTGTAACATACTGCATGATAGTTTTTAGTTTCCTAATAGACTTCTGAAATGTTCATAGTATAAGATATTTTGAAATATTGAAAGATTTTGCTAAATAGTGATGTCTGAAAAAGTATGTAACTTCTTATAATAGAGAGCTGAAGATTTAAACTTTAAATTCTTGGTCTGAAATTGGTCTTCTCCCTTCATATCACTGGCTAATTAGTCCAATTGATTTTGACTAGCTTTCTTAGTGTCTTCAAACTTGCCAGTTAGTATTTGTGAAGACTTATGTGTTCATTTAACCCTTCACTTAGGTTCAACTAGCTGATTTAAAGTCTCTTAAGATCACCTGTGCATCAAAGTAATATGACAGTGTGACTGTTTTGATTTAGTGGCTACTCAGATAATGTCTGTTGCAATCTCCAATTAGTCTTTCCTTTAAAAAAGGCATGTTAAGCAAGGATACTATATTGCTCCGGCTTGTTCTATTTTTTGATTTGATGTCATCAGTAACAGAACCATGCCTTCCCTCTATAATGTACTTTAATAGTAGAACATCCCCTGAGAATGGAGTCCAGTAATCAAAATAGCTTTAATTTTCTTATTTTTTGTATATGTTTTCTATGAACAGCTTCTGTTATTAGGTGGCATAGCTTGCTTTTATTCACTATCCTCCATGCTACCTCTTCCCTCATGTGCTACTCCTGTATATCGCCTGCATGCAGATGATTACTTTTAGTCTTTGTATCCTGGCTGAATTGAAGGTGGATCTGAAATCCTTAGTCTGAAAGCGTTAATTCTGTAAATCTTTTGGAGTTCATAAAATAGTAATAGTTCATATGCTGGCTAGTAAATTTTATCAGCTTTTCAATGCTTGAAATTAGTAAGAGGTAAAATGAGAGTAAACTAATGTTTGATTCTTTCCTTTGGATTACTATGCAGTGAATGAAGTGCCAATGTAACTTTGCCTCTTCACTTAAATTCTTTCTCCTAGCTTTGTACTCCATCATACTGTTCTGCGTCTTTCTGTGGATTCCCTTTGTCTATTTCTATTATGAGGAGAAGGAAGAAGATGATGGAAACACATGCTCAGTAAGTTCACTCTAGCAAATGCACCGAGCAGTGAAAAGACAAGTGAATACAGGCAAAAATGAAAGCAAGAATGATTGTCTAACTTGAATATTACAATGTTAATAGCATTTCTAAGTCTGTTACTACAGTTCCTTTAAAATACTGAGGCAGCTCTTAATAACACTGTCTGACGTAGTCTACTCTAAGCACTGTGTTCTCACATGAAATGAAACTTTAGTGAGATAAGTAATTAACATCTGTATTGCCATGAATTCTTTAAGCTTCCTACAAATTCCTTTGAGCCTGATTTCATATACAGGAAGTTAAAACTTCTTACATGAGATTTTCTTAGAATAGAAAACATGTATGAACTGGTTGAAAGTAGAGAAGAAGATTATACTGATTCTGAGATAGACACTACATTGGAGTACCATTCTTCTTGTAGCATTTGCATTTTTCTTGAAGTAGACACTAGTAACTTACCTGAAGCTAGCATTGGGTTATTTCTGTAATGCACTGAAGATTGTTTGACATGCATGACATTCCAGGAAATATAATAAATGCATGCCAGGAAGCTACTAACTTTTCAAATGAAAATGCTGTTCTTAAAGAATCTTTTAGTCATTGATGATGATCGTTTTCCCCTCTGTTCAATTGTAACCATAACATGAGAAAAAAGACTTCTAATCATAGCCATAATATAAAGCATTGGTAATAAGAATTTTCTTTGAGTGTATTTGCACTGAATGAATGTACCCTGGCTTCTGGCCACAGCTACTCAAGTGCATAGTTTATGATGGAAACATAATTCCATGTCATTGTTCATAGTTCTCAAGCTATGAAACTCTTCAACAGTGTATACTTCTGACTTGTAACTAAAGCTACTCATGTTTTTCTGTGGAGGTCCCTTTGTTATCCGAAGTATGCTTTGCCATAACTTGTTGCACAAATCCCTTTGGATTTATTTTATGTTAATTTGTTAACTTTCTCTTTAATATACAGCAGGTTAAAACTGCACTCAAATATACTTTGGGATTCATCACAATTTGTGCAGTTCTTCTCTTAATTGGGTAAGTATTTGTATTGAACATTAATGGGATATACTAAATAGAACCCCGAAGAGAATTTTGTTTGGTGCAAGATTAAAATGGTAGATTACAGTGCACTCAATCTGTATAATGAATATTTAGCTTAATCTCGAATAGCACTTAAATATCCTGAGAATTAGGTACCTGAAAAGTAAGAGTTTAACTGGAAGCTGAAACTGTTCTTAATTGTGGAGGTACTTGAGCTTCCAAGTTCTGCTTGTTTGTGCAGTGTGAATGTCCATTGAGGACATGATGGCTATGATATTTACAGCTGTATTGCTATCTCTGTGTACAACAGAGTAAAGTGTTTGTGCTCCTTCTGTTTCCTGCCTCTGTCAAATGCTTTCATGGACATTCCAAAACAGCTTTTAGGAATATAAGTAGGTGTTACATGCTTATTACTTTCCTAAATGGATGTGTTCTGTGAAGGACATAAGTATAATGTGGGGTAATACTTGACATAGTTTTGCCTTGTATGGTAAAGGTTTTGCTGGCATTTGTTTGAAAGGCAGATGTTACTGATGTGGGTAGCTTGTTTGCAGCAAATGCAGTTATTCTGAAACTCCAAGCAGTATTACAGATTCCATTCAAGATCACCGTTAAGCATGACATGCACACCAATAGTGAATGTTTTTAATATATGCTGTGTCATAAGCTTTTTAGCATTTTGACTGCAGCAATGAAGTTGGTAAAATTTACAAAATGTATGCTAAAATGATTCATATCGAAGTACTGAAGTGTGAAGTAGAAAGTAGAGTGAAGATAATGCTTCTAATTGTATACCACCTTATTGGAATATTGTTTTAGTTTTGATAAACACTTAAGGTATGTTTCTAAGAAGTCTGTCCTTTCAATTAAAAGTAACATACTTGCTATTATGAGAGACTAAAGGAGTCATCTTAATCATGATCTAGAAATATTACTAAAGCTTCTGACAAAAGCTGTTTCTCTGACTGTCGGCTCACATCATAAGCATACATATAGGTATGGTATAATATATCCAGTTTATAAAATTTTGTAGTGTCTTTAGTAGGTGTCAGCTGAATCCTCAGCAGCTGTAAGCATGTTTGTTCTTCTTTTCTAGTAAGATGGAACTTGGTTCTTGACTTCCTAATTGTCCTCTGTGCTCTTAGTTTGTTCTTTAAAGTCTTCACAACTTGTAAATTACAGCGGCTTCCGTGATCCCCTCTGATACTGTGCCGTATGACAGTGAGATTGACTTGCAAACCTGGGACTAAGTTACTGAACAGTGCTTCTTCATAGGTACAGACTTGAAACCCACTGACCTAACCAGCAGGAGTATCTGCTGCAGGGAGGCAGGACTCCTTTAGATAACGACAGGGATTTTAGTATTTCTGGGTTCTAATTTGAATGATTTTTCTGCTATTATGTGTATGAGGTTGCTTGCTTTCTTTTAAGATGGTAATGATTAAATAGTAGCATCATCCTAATGCTGTCAGAATGGAAAAGCACCTTTGCTACTTAAGACATTGCTGCAGAAGAATACAGTTCTTGCCTGTCCCCTTTAAGGGAAACTGAGAGCGAACAGCTCAGTTTAGGAAGCCAATGAGGTGACTGCTGAAGAAAAATGTGATCTTTGTTTCTAGTATAGTTTATATAAATAAAATAGTAGGTGTTTCGGTGTTTATATGCGTGCTTGTTACGGAGAAGTTACCTGTCTTAGTCAACTGTTTGCACAGCAAGGGCAAAGAGCAGCCTCATAAGTCCCAGTGTGATAGGAAAGAGATAAGTTTTGGAGCTGGAGCTTCTACCTGAAGGGCTCAACTGAATGTCAAGACCAATCTTGCAGTACGGCCTATACTTGGCAGTAACAGGAGACTTTCTCACTGGTGGTCAGGATCAGACCAACATTAAAACAGACTGGAATTCTATGTACTGGATTTAATTTTAGGAGGCTAGGCTTAATGGACTTGTGCACACAGGTTAAGGGCAAGAAGGGTTGGAATATTACCTTTTAAGTGCGTAGCAAATAGTCTATCTTCTTGTGCTTACATGATTAGTGTCTCGTATCAAGACAACCTCTGTTCTGATTGATTTAGCAAGTAATCTCTATAATTAAAAAAGGTCAATAAATAGCTTGGTTCCTTTAAATATAGGTCTACACAAGAAGTCCCTACCTCTCACCTGGTCAGCAGTCCTGAAAGAAACCGTAAAAGCTGTATTAAGCTTGAGTTTTAAGAATATTTTATTCTTCCCTGGATGTTTACCTTGCTCCATTAGAGATCTGTGTGCCTATTTGGGGAAACATAATATCTGGTTTGTGCCAGATGATCTTGGAGGTTTTTTTCTAAGTTGGTAACACAGCTCAATGAGCAGGATTCCATTGCCTAAATTGTTAGGAGTAGTATTTGTACCTCTTACTCTAGTTGTCTTATAGAGCCTCTTGCTGTGGCAAAAATGTGTGTGTCTGTAATAGCACTTAAATGCTCTGCACACAAGTAACTTGATGCAGAGTATCATTAAAAGTGAAGTATAGGACAAATTTACACTGGGATACTTGGAACTAATAGTTACTTGTAATGCCTTTCCCTTCTTAGAAATTATCTACTTTCCTTGAATAGAGTTTATTTACTCTAAATGTCATGTGCTGGAGCCAAGGGGCTTGAGATACTACAACCTATGTTAAGGCACCCTTATACAGCAGTCTTGTTTGGACTAAAACATTTGCTTTTGAGATTAATGAATGTTTGGTTCTAAAAGGAATGTCAGTGTTTGGAATTGAACTGGTTACCTTAAATTTTCTAGAACTGTTAGCTTTTAAAAAGCTATGAATATATGTCTAATTAGCCTGTAAATAATTATGCAAATTATATTATAGCAGAACTCACTTTAAGGAAACGAGTTTAAATTTAGTGTGTTAAAAATTATTTTCGCAAGGATGACAGTTAATGGCACTCCTTGATTTAAGGATCAAACCTGACCCATCTACACCTGTATGTTATTAGCCCTGCCAAAAGTTAATAGTTTTAAACTGCTTGTCTTGCATTTACTTTCCTTGTTCTGCAGCCTAGATAATGATCTAGAGCTTAATCATAATATTCCTAGGATGTGTTTTAAACAGCATAGCAGTTTGCTTCTATTCTTAAAATTACTGCAGTTACTAATTTCATTTGTGTCCAGAACGCCAAGTGTAAGACATCACAGTTCAGCTGCTCAGTTTGCTTACATTAACTGAATTGTCAGCTGTACCTGTAAAAGCTTACACTGGCACTTGTGCTCCATTCACTTGCTGTCAATGGACTGACTTGTCTTAGATCACAGTGATGACAGGTGAATGGAGTTATTTAGCATGGAAACTTCTCATTCTGTTGATGGCCACTATGGCCCTCAGGCTGTGTTGACCATTTAGTCAACATAGCAAAATAGCCAATTTTTTTCAAATTTATTCTAGCTTAGCGTGCATGAAGAATAGGCCTAAACTGCTGTGTGCTGTGCTGCTTCAATGGATGGGCTGTGTTTTAGAGATCCTTTGGGAGTGTGGAGTGGACGCAGGTTTCTAGATGGCTAGGCACGCTAACTCTGTCTTGTTCTTCTTGTGGCCTGTTAAGCTAGAGGCCAAAAGTCTGCTTAGCTGGGCTAGTTAGCCTTCTGGCTAGTTTACTACTAGTTGAGGGACCCTGTTCAGGAAGGGGGACAAGATTCCTGCTTCCTTGGAACTAAAGTGTGTGACTTTATAGCACTTGTATTCCTCTGAGGCCCTTGGTGCATGGAACCTGAACAGGAGCAGAATGAGATGTCCATCTCCTTCAGTCAAGATTTAGCTGAGTACTAATTGACAAGTGTGTATAATGGGTACCGTGGCTTTGGCTCTGATTAGTGTCCTTTGACATGCTGATTGTAGGTAGTCTCAGAAAAAAAATTAAATATTTTAACCTTATTGCTCTTGGAGGGGGGGAAAAAAGGCAAGCAAGTTATAAATATTCTAAGTTGTTCTTACATCTCATTTGTTCCCTGCATGTGGTCCACAGATAGCAAATTCATACTGATGCTAAAATAAAAGGGCTTGAGCTCACTTAGTTTCCCAGAGTCTCCTATTTTAACCATTTTTAGCAAATAACACTGCATTTTTTTTGTGTTGCTATCTCTTGTAAGTAGAAATTTTGCCTAACCTTGTTTTAGTACCTGTGTCTTAATTTTGCCTGGATGCTATTTTACAGAAAGAATTACTACTAGAGGCAGATAGAAGAACAAAATCTAAGGTCAGCAAGCATGCATCAACTGACGTAAATGCTAGCCTTAATCTACCTCCTGCACAGTCAAGAAGCTAAAAATCAAACACTTTTTAAAATTTAAGATTTTAAAAAATAAAACTTTAACTTTGTTTGCAGAGTACTAGTTTGGTTTTGGTTTTGATGTGATGATTATAAGTGCACACAGTTAGTTTAGCACTAACCTTTGAAACACATGCTTATGTTCCGTACTTGAAGTATGAGGCATACTTCTGGAAGATGCATATTTATTTTTCATGTGTTTATTGGGACTTGAAGCAGGGATCTAATTATGTACTTTTTTCTTATAAAAGTCCAAAAGATATTTGTGAGCGTTCCTTATGGACTTTGGTTGGGTTCTCGCATTCTTTACCTAAAACATTTCCCTCCAAATCAGACTTCCCCATGACTTGTACGTGTTCTGTTCTATGTCTGGAATCTATGGTTTCAGGTTTGTATGGAGGTTCTGTTTTCCAGCTTTTACCCAACTAGATGTTTTGCCTATGGAGATGCTGAAGAGTTACTCTTACTATTGGACTTTAAATGGGCAGACTGACAGCAGGAAGCTGTCAGCTAGGGGACTGTTCTACCTGATGTTCTTCTGAGCACTCTTTGCTAGTCTCCGCTTATTGGAAGGTCAAAAACATTTAATGAACTTCTCTACAGTTCAGTTCTCTGGGCCAACTACAGAACAAAGAATGGAATGCAGCAGATGTGTTATTTTAGGTGTAATAATGGAAGATAAATGTCCCTTTAAACTTTAATTAATGCTCGGTGGGGGAATCATTAATTGTTTTAATCTAACTTCCAGATGTGTGGATTTATAAGAGAATTTGTCTCAATTGATGCTTAAAGTCTTTTTGCTCCTCAGCACATGAGTCAAACCCGGATAGTAAATCAGATTGATACATCTTTTAATGATGCTTGAGTGTAGGGTCCTTACCTCTGTTAGGACTGGTAAATAGAAAATCACTTGTTCATTGACTTCAAACCTGCCTCTGCACACACTCACACATGTACTCTGCTGATCTAAATATAGCATTTGAGGGGAATGTGAATAAAATGAAGCATTGCCTTCAGAATTCTTTAAACCTAATGTCATACAATTTTTCTTCAGGAGTAAATGGGTTTCTATTTTCTTAACTTAGAAGTAGAATTCTTTTGATATTTGACTGTTGGGCTAAGTGAGATGGCTTTTTTGCTCTGTTACAGTGCTTTTGTTCCTTTGAATATTCCCAACAAGAAGAATTCCACAGAGTGGGAGAAAGTGAAGCTCCTGTTTGAAGAATTTGGAAGTAGTCGTAAGTTTGAGATTTGTTCTGAGCTTTGCATAACTTGCTACTAACTCACCTTGGCATACTTGTCATTGACTGAATAAGAAAACTAACTTGCTTGGTGACAGTTTTCTAACTGGACTCTAACTGCTCATCTACACTAAATCTTTGCAATAAGATTATTCTCTTTCTCTTCAGACAAAAAAAAAACCAACAAAAAAACCACGAACTGGAACTCTCATTAGAGAGGAGACACTGGCAGTGTCTGCTTTCAGTACAGTTCCCATTTGACACCAAGGATTCCAATGTTGTGTCCTATGATATTAATGGTGGGGAGGGGAAAGTATGTTCTTCCATGGAGTCTTCACTTAACATAGCTTTTAAATGTTACTTAGCCAGGGTGTGTTTTCAGAGCGAAGGTGTGAACAAAGTGTTTTATAGGTGAGCTAAGACAGACTTGATGCCACTTTCCAAATGTAGGAATAAAAGTTATTGTGCTCTAAATTCTTGATTTAACTAGAGGGAAGGGGAGGACATGGGAGAGAACACTAAATAGTTCAGTTATTATGACTGGGTGCAAACATGAAATTGATTGCTTAAAGCTACTATAAGTTTCCATGCTACTGTTTAACCAAAAAAAGCTTGCCATATTGTGTCCTGCATGGTGAGGTTAGGGACAGGGCTGTCTGTTTTGAGAAATTATGCAGGAGGATTTGGGGAGTTTGATGCCTTTGGGGATGAGTTTGGTAATGCTTTGCCTCTATCTCTTTTCATTTCTATAGTGATAGTAAGGCTACAGTAATTTCTTAGTCCCCTGACCTTTTTCCAGTTTGTGCATCTCCATGTATGTGGTCTGGGTGAAGCTGAAGCCCGGAGTCTGGCTTGTTTGGTTGTTTGAAGGATTCATGCTTGCCTGATTCTCTGGATAGTGCTTTATTATGAGAAATCAGGGGATAACAAACAAAACAAAGATGAGCCATCCAGAATGCATGTGCAAATTGTGAAAATTTACCACAGCACCCTGTGGAGGCCAGAAGTAAGTCTTGAAGAGGCATTAGACAGCTGTGGGAGCAAGTTCATTAGTGGCTAGTCAACCATTTGATGGAATGCAACATCTGTGACCTTGTAGCAAAGGTGAGATGACTGTCCTGCTTCTTGCAGTATTGGAGGAGGATCTACTGCTGACAAAAAACTATGCCAGGTGAACTTTTCATCTGAGTTGTGATGTCTGGTAACTATGTCTCAATTTTCTTCCTTCAACCTAATGATGTTAAGTATCTTCAGGAAACCAGTTAAGTAAGAAATGTTCTTATACCTCTACTATTGGAATTTTCAACAGGCTTTTTTGTTTTGTTTTGTTTTTTGCAGATGGCTTGACTGCTCTTTCATTTTCCATTAGTTCCTTGACTGTGATTGGAATGTTGGCAGCTATCACTTACACAGTAAGTTGTTACACAAATGTTTCAGCTCTTTGCATTCATGATATTTGCAGTTATCACCGGCTGTACTTGTATGGAAAGCTGTCATCATGCTAAACAGCTTCAACAGTGTCTTCTAGCTCTGGATTTTCATGGTTCGAAACACTACTTCTGAGTTCTTGGAATGAGAGGAATAACTTTTTTACTGCAAGTTTAAGAACCACTGTTTTGGTACTTAAGCACAGATCAGACTTAATTTCAATGTCTTTCTGCAGGTGGAGGTCACATTATTGCCTATGGCTTGTAACATTCACTGGCTCCTCCTGTTCTTAAGCCTCTGTCTCCTTCTCCATCCAGCAGTGGAGAACTAAATACTGCTTCTTTTTTTAATTCATTTAACTATGGCATAACCTGGATTTGGTCTGGTCAGTCTATAATACTGAATGTAAGCTTCACTACAACTTTTCTACGCTGATGTTTTTATCTCTACAGAGCTTTACAAAGAAAAGTCTGGCAGAATAACTTGATTTGTGAAGTAGTATGCAAAATGTTCTCGATCATAACTGTCTCTTTTGTAAAAGGCTGTTCATCATTCAATAAATTAAAAGCAATGTCTTTAACAGAGCATTGCTTCACAGTTCTGTATTTCTAGAATTTGAGTAAGGGTAAATATTTATGCATGTCAGGATTCAGGTATAAAGAATCTGCAACATCTGAGATGTGCTTAAATCAAGAATAGCTAAGAAGTTAAAAGCAAATAGAATTTGAAACTGTTTAGAGGCTTGTTTTCTAAAGGGAATATTCTTGGTAGTCCTAGGCATGCAACTAAACTACTGTAGTTCTTTCTGTAGTTTGAAAGGATTTGGAAGTGTTCATTCTGTAACTGATTGTAAATCATATGATTAAGGCTATGTAACTTAAACTGTTTCACTCTTGCTTTTATGTGCAAAGGAAAGAAACCATTTTAACTTACTAGCTTTGACCAATATTTGATGTTCATGTGGTCACTTGCTTTTCCAATCTGTTCTATTTCTTCAGTCACTGAATAATCAGCCTGTTTGTAATGCTACATGTATTAACTTGTCATCATGGTAAAATTTTGCAACAAAGATCAAGTTTTAAAGCTCAAGGTAACTGCAGACAAAGCTTTAAAACTTCTCAGAAGTCAGTGTTTTCCTGATAGGTTTTCATCTTTAAGTTTGTGTCCTTGCTAAAGTAACTTTCTCTTCCATTGCAGCCTGGTTCTAACATAGTAAAGTTGTTCCTATGTAGCCTTGCTAGTGAATTCTAAGTGGCTCTGTAAAAATGGCTCATGAAGTAAGTTATTTTGATGCATTGCTAGCCAAGGAGATGTTTTGTGTTAGCTTGTTGTCAGGCAAAGGATAAATGGATAAAATTAGTGTAGAACAATGATACAAGAAAGAGGGAAGAGTGTTTTAGTTCTAACTAGTTAAGTGGTTAAAGTACCTGCTAAATAATACCTTTAGACTCTTAATCTTAAACAAATCTAAATTGAGTAACAAGAATAGCTAATGATTTTCTGTCTCTATACTACTGACTTCAGGTGGTGTAAGTTAGAGCAGGATTATGTGAGGCAATTTAGTACAGGGTCTTAGATGTAAGTGTCAGAACACTGACAGCTCGGTGGTCATCATGCTCTGTGCAGTAGGTAGGAGAGCAATTTGGTGGATCAGCTAGTAGGTATCTCTGGTGAGCTGAATTGCTCTCGGCCCTGCTGACTAAGTGCTTTAACTTGACCTAAATTGTTAATTTTATTACTTTAAGCCTTTTCTGACTGACAGGGGTCACTAAATCATTCAGGCTATATTGCTGACATCTAGATTGTGTGCTGGTCAAAAAAGATCCAGACCTTTGCCTAGCCTGTAATAACATGTCAGCTTTTAGCAAATTTGTTTCCCTTAATTATGGAAGGAAGGATTAATCTCTTGTTCAATTACATCACTGCAGAGCACATGTAATGTGTTTTAACCTCCATGAGACTAACGTTAAGAACAAACTCATTAGCTGGGAGAATATCCTCACTGTTTTTCTAAACAGCTACCCAAGTATGGCTTTTATAACTGTTAGTAAATGTCTATAAGCATCTAAAATGCAAGGTTGTTTTATTTTGCACAAATTTATTGCTGACTGAAATATAAACTATGTTTAAGAAAGTAGCAGTTGGAAGTTTTTTGATTTGTTGCTAATATTACCTACTTCTGACATTATTTCCCTATTTATTTTTGGAGCACAGTTTGGTTGTAGGCACCATTCAGCTGAGTATCACGATATGCTTCTGTCCTCAAAACTAGCTGAACCTGGAAATAGGTGACTTCTGTTTAATGTTCAATAACTTCAGTGTGCTGTGTCTGTGTGGTTTCTCAGATGAAGACAATACCTCTGTCCTTAATTTTGTTGCCTTAGTCTTACTGTATTTAAGACTTGTACAAATACTGGGTGGTACATAAGGTGAAACATCTAGCATGAGCTAAAAGTCTTCTCTGAATGCCTTAATTACTAAAATTTTAGGCTAGTTTGCTGCTTGGAAAACTTCAACCAAGCTGTCCATGCAAATGCCTGGAACATGGAATTGTTTGCTTTGTTTTTAACTGCTGTATTTGATCCTTCTGAAATTATCCCTTCTGTTTACAGTAGGTGTTATGGCAGGGTAGGAGAAATGGAGGAGCTATTTCACAGAAGGTTTAGGGATGGGCTCACACAGGAGGTGGTCCTTGTCCACCTCAGTGTTTTTGGTCATTGTTTTTTGTCATTGTTTGCAGGCTCTCGTAGAATCTTATGCTGAAAACAGTGAGCTGTCTTTGATATGTGGGTGGACTGAGGTACAAATATGTCATGGACAGTGAAAACCACTTATTAGAAGGTCTGTGCTCTCAAAGTTGGAGCAGGAATAGATTCTTTTATGCTCTAGTGCTTTCGTAACACTTTGTCCACTGCCAGTGATGGCCAGGCTTCCTAATGTAAGCAGTTTCCACCTGTAACAGCATGACAGCATGAGCAGTGCTGTTCTCATGGTCTGAAGAGTGAATTGTGAGTGTGACCTCGAGAGCATGTGGATGCCGAGTGCCTGCATTCCAGTTTATATTGTGGGCTGGGCTTTTCCCAGTGGTACACTTAATGCACAAGTTACTTCAGTAGTGAAAAGTTCCTGGGCTGTCACACTCCCTAAGCCTTGGGGAGAGGTTGGCCCAGAGTATAGCTTCACAGTCTCTACCAGTTTGGATTACTCAACTCCTTCCAGTTGGGAGGAGAAGTGTGATTCTGGAAAGAGTAACTGTTTTTCTCTTGGTAACTCCCCACTTCGTGTTGTGGATTTTTTTGCTGTGTTAGTCTTGTATAAACCCCCCTCGCCCAGAACCTCTAGATAGGACAAGGGAATTAGTGTGCAGGCAAGTCTATGAGACTTTGTCTATAATGCTTGCTTCTGACTTCAGACATCTGATGAGTAAGTAGTTAAGCTCCTGTATTTTTTAGCCAGCTCTCTGCATGCCTATCAAACTGTTTGTCCCAGTTTCTAAAGGTGGGAGGCCTTTGTGCTTAGTCATCAAACCACTGTTTGATAATTGGTGGTAGATTTCTTTTTTTAAACACGAAAATACCTTTATATAAGGGTGAACACAAGAACAAAGACACCTACTTCAAAAATTTCTGCAAGTGCTTAGCAAATGATGGGGAAGAAAGGGTAGAGAGAATAAGATGGGGACACAATCTGTGATGTCCGAGTTCCCTTGTTTCTGAACAGAGGTGATCTTAGATCTTTGGTATATACTAGTTAGGTGTTGAGGATTTGTAGTATAGACAACTGAATTTTTATAATGTTCCCCTGAGTTTTGAATATTCTCCATCTGTTCCATTGCAAGTGTTGCAATTCTGTTGTTAAAGGGAAGCTAAGAACAGGTGTATCTGGTCTTCTGTATAATCATATTCACCTTTTTACTCTAAAGAAAAAATCTATTCTGAAATTCTAATGAAGGTTGTATTGTAATAAGTGATATGTTAGAGAATACTTTCATACCTAATTAAGAATGTTTTTACATCGAATGCCTACTAATTTAACACAAAATACTAAAAGTAAATGGGAATGCTGTGCCTGCACTGACTGCAGTTGACTGATTTAATCTTAAAATGTTATTTGTGGAAGAATACCATGAAACAGATGAATCAAGTGATTCTTTTTAAGTCACTTGAAGTACAATTTATCCATTCTACAATTAGTCAAATGTATGTTAACAGTGCTGCTTTTGTGTGGCCTTCAGTGTGAAGAATTACGTTATGGCTGTTCTAAAATTGTGCTTTTGCACTGTGGTATTATACAATACTGTGAGAACCCAGGAAAAGAGGCTTTCACACTGGCAGCAGGCAGCCTTGAACTTGTGTAGATACTGAGAGCAAAAGCCCACTTCTGTATGTGTATGCTCCTAGGCTTTCTCTATGAAAACATGTTCTCCTGCTTCCACAGGAGGCCCCCCCGTGCGGGGGGGGTGGTGTTCTTGATTGTAAATGGCTACTATTTAAATTATGGAACTAACAATTTAGCCCAATGGCTAATCTAGTTAAAATCTATTTTTTAAGGAGTATCATCAGCATTGATCCAGTGTTCTGGGCCTCTCAAGGCCTGGGGTGATTTAATGTGTTACTCTGAAGTACATGTTGAGCTATTCATGCAAGAGAACACATTTCTTACCAGACCATGTGATACTGTAACATTCGGTGCCTTTGTTTTTGGGGTGGAGGGGATTGGTGGGGAACAACACATGCTGGACCAGAGTTGCTGACAACTGAGGACTTGTGTTACTGAGTGTGATAAAAAGGTAGATAACACTATAGTTTGTGGTTGTCATTATGTTAGCTCGCTGGCTTTCATTTTCTATTGCTTCGAATATCAAAATCAGTTCACTAGATTTGACCTAGTGATACATACAGAGAAGAGCTTTTCTTGTAGTTTGAGGGGAAAAATGCAGGATTTAGCTGTTGAGTTGTGAGCTTGTCCCCAGCTTCTGAATGGG